TTTGGGTTAAATCATGTCAGATTTTAGCCACTCAGGAAGGAAATGTTATATTTTCTATAGGGAAGGAGGATAAAAAGTGAATGAACTCACATTTGATCTGATTTGATACATCACTCCTTTTAAAACAAATGTAATAAATATAAAGAAATCTATAAGTGGAACCCAAAACGGCTGTAAATCTTTAATAACGGGCAATAAAAATATTAATATATGTTTTAAAAAATACACAGAGCCTGTATTTTAAGACATCATTTGTTGGGGACTATTTTCAGCTGCAGGTCCAATGATATTTGACTCAAACTGCAGTGCCCACATGCATTTAAACCAAGGAGCACGACGCCCTGTGCCGTTCATAGGCTCATTCATGTGTTTTTAATTGTTTCTGGACAACAGCGGAGGTCAGTGGCAGAAACAGGGGTACAGGACTAATCCGCGTCACGATACGTTAGTCAAATCAATTCATTGTTGGTTTTCATCTTTTCATGATATTTGTTGACAGTGAGAAAAATATAGGATACCAGATTTCTGCTTTTAAAGGCCAAAATAAAAAAAGGGGGCTTGTAATACAAAAACTAAGTTTCAGGGCAAAGAGATAAAGTTCAAACAATCAGGAAGATAAATCATTTTATCAACCTTTTCTTTGTGCAAATGGTCTGCTCTTCTAAAAAGAAAAAAGAGTAGGAAATACACAAGGGTGCTAAAGGAGGAAATGAGGAAACAGAGCGAGAAATACAGATGAAGGGAAAAGGAGGAAAGTGAGAGGGAGGGTGCAGTGGAGAGGTAAGCAATCAATCATCAGTGGTGTAGAGAGAGGTCACAGGGGAGCGGTGCTCTCACTTCTGATTAGGAAAGGTCATTTTGTTGTTCATGAAGCAGAAAAAAATCCAAATTGCCAACTGGAAATAAAATCTACAGAAGTTTTGAGCAGAATGCATCAAATTGATCGATTAAAGTAAGATAATAATAAGATACTGCCTCTCTCGATACAGCTGTGCTGTGTTAGAGATGTAATCACAAACTCCAGCGTCGGTGAAAAAAATTACAAGGATAAAATTGTTCTAGCTTTTCAAGGTCGTTCATCACTTTCAGCACCGGTGCTTTTGTTTATGACTGCTGTTGTTGTAACGTCTCGTCGCAGCTATAATAAACAAAACTGTTGGGATACAGCTCTGTGTGACAGTAGACAACTCCATCACTCTTTAAATATGCTTAATGCATTTTATTTGTTTGTTTTTTAGCTTATTGTATTGTACTTTGGGGATTTTATAATATTTTCACTGTATTCACTGTACTTTCATTTACTGGTTTATATTTAATGGTGAGGTTTTTCCTTTTTAAAACACAGGAGTGTTTTGAAATCAGTACATTCCTTAGCCGGCGATTCGTTACTGTATATCTGACTACTGCGTTTTTAAAGCTGAACATCCCACGCTACATTTACCACCACACCGCTGCGTGAGGTCAGGAGGTGAACATGATCAGTGGTGGAAGAAGTACTCAGGCTGTTGACTTAAGTACAAGTACATAGTGTAAAAATACTCTGTTACATGTACAAGACCTGCATTCAAAATGTTACTTTACTAAATGTACAAAAGTATTAGCATAAAAATATACTTAAGTGCCAAAGGTAAAATCACTGAATAGGCAGAATGCATATTAATGAATGGATATCATATTAATGCATTTTTATTATTTATATATTACTGTGTAACTCACATGTAATGCTGCTGCTGGTAATGGTGGAGCTGACTTTAACCAACTATGCTTATAATTTGAAGTGCTTTATATTTCACCGGGTGACTTGTGAATTTTACACCAAGGATCAATAAAGTTTTAAAATTATACTGTATTTTGATTTGTTAATCTTATTCAGAAAAGTAACTAGTAACTAAAGTTATCAAATAAATGCAGTGAGCACAAAGTACCATATTTTTCTGAAATGTAATAAATTCAAAGTATGAAGTAGGAGAAAATGAAAATACTCAAGTACTATACCTCAAAACTGTACTTCAGTGCAGTACTGGAGTAAATGTAAACATGTTATCTGGTGTTATGTGATACTATAGGATCATGTTTGTGAGCACGTCAGCAGGAGCAGGAGTGAAAGTGATGGTGTAACAGCATCAGCCAGACAGTGACTGAGCGTGACTAGAGGGATCACGTGGGAGAGAGCGGGAGTGACGGTGAAACTGTGAGCATTAGTGCTGAAGCAGCCATGGAGAGTCCCTGAATAACGACACACAAAATTCACTTAGCCTTCTTAATCCCTCGATTTGTGATCTCTAATGCTGGAGGTTCCAGCAGGAAACACATTTACACATTTACTGCCTCTGAAATGGAGCTGATTAGAGAGCAAACACTATCAGCGTATCGGCGATATCGATTCCCTCTCAGAAATAAGCTGGGTGAACCAAGCAAACCTGTTGTGAGCAAACTTTTAACACGGGGTTCAGAGAAATGAAGACAGTGCATTGTTTGCTGTGACATCTGCTGGTTACTATAGTAACTCACATCTTGACATCTTCTCCCATAAAACAGCGGTTCCTCAGTAGCCCCGCCCACAACTGCACGCCAACGATGCCGAAGATGAAGAAGACAAAGAAGCACAGGGCCAGTACATTGCCCAGCATGGGAAGTGTGTCTAGGAGGAGGGTCACTAGGATGCGCATACCTACCAACACACACACACACACACACACACACACACACACACAGCATAAACACCAGAGCTAAACACTCAAACAAGCAAATATTTACATGCAAGCAAGCATTAGCTCTCGGTCACGGGGAGAGTTGGTCAGGCAGGAGGAATCTCCTGATGTATTCCACACGAAACTGGAGCAGTGCGAATAATTGAATGGCAAATAATTAGAGTTCAAACACTGATAACTGGCCTCCATTCTGCTGAAGAGCACAAATACCAAATCTTCCTCCTCACTGCTTCAAGACTTTTAAACACACACTCTCCAGTTTTATGAGACCTCTAATTAAAAACATAACATAATGATGACTGGCCAGTTTGCACACTGAGCTGTCAGGAGCAACACAAGCATCCCAATGACTTCCATGACTTTGTTCACTGTGTCCTGATTTGTTTACACGAGTCCATCAAGTAGAACGCCACAGCTGTTAATAGCTGCACAGCTTGGGAAGTCTAAGAAATGAAGTGGAATTTACAGTGAGTCAGAGCGTACAAGGACAGCGACACATTTTTCACTGTCTTGGCAGCGATTAATGAGTTGCTGACTTTCAGCTGAGGGTGTTTTCACATCAGATGCACAGTGCAGGATTTGTAGCCTTTTTATTCACAGTCCACCAACTACAGGGGACAGAAGTTAACGTAAACTTACAGAAGCCTTGCAAAGTCATCACATTAAATATTTTTGATTAGTCAGTGGCTTTCTGAAGTGAACGACCGACAGACATCAGCTGAGATTTGGTATGTTTCTTGCTGATGCTCTGGCAGCCCTATGCTGCAGTCGTCATCGCTTCTCGCTTGTTTCGGGGACTTCTCGCTTTCTGTCTGGTCATCAGCAAGTCAGACACATGGTCAGCTGAATTTCACTGGGGTTAATGACTTCTCCAGTCACAAACACTACACACAGCTTGACCACTGAAATCTCTGCCTTTACACCCTCTAACCTGCTGTACTCCCCTAAAGTCGTACCAATTTGGCTATGAACACACTTTAAAAACCCTTTAAGCTTAAAGTCAGCACTTTAACCTCACAGTCAATGTTATTTAAAATCCAATGTGCTGGAGCACAGAGCCAAAACACTGAACACTTTCTAAGCACGGTGTGTGTTGGAAAAGGAGATTCACTCACTGGGAACTCTGTTGATGGCTCGGAGTGGGCGGAGAACCCGGACAGTCCGAATTGCTGATAGGCTGACGTTGTGTCCATCAAGCGAGTATTCCAACATTCTGCGGAGAGGGAAAGCCACCGCTGTGTCACTTGCATGGTGAACAACCTGACCTTGGCAAACTCTGAACATCTACTGGGAATTCAACAGAACACAGTGCACTGTCTCTGGGATACATAGCCTTTCAACTACCAATCACCGAGGTCTGTGTCTCTCAGGACCAAATGGTCCAATTGTCATTCTGCAAAGCTGTCACACACACATCTGTTGGTATGTCTACACACGCGCACACACGCTTGACATTTAACTGGCATTAAACAAGTGTCTAAGCTTTACACAAAACACACATACACACACTTCTGGCTCATATTTAATGTCAGATGCGCGTGTGTGTGTGTGTGTGTGTGTGTGTGTATGAGTGAACATGAGTATGTGCAAACACTCACCCCACTATAACAATGAAGAAGTCCAATCTGTTCCATGTGTCACCTAGGTAACCGCTCTGACCTATGACCCCAAGAGCCACCATCTTCACCAGCATCTCCCCGGCAAAAAACACAAAGATCCCATCATCCAGAGCCTGCGCGCGCACACACACACACACACACACACACACACACAGGACCCAGAGGATTAGTGTAAACTGATTAACTAGAAAAAAAATTAAAGCAAAAACTTTTCTGACCCTTGATAATAAAGTCACACAGCTGAACATAATTAGTTTGTAATTTCATATTGTGCGAGTGAGAGTGCAAAAGTGTGTGTGTGTGTGTGTGTG